GGCGCGGCGGCCGGTCCGGTGCAGGGCGGCCGCCTGTCATCGCCCTGCTGCGCCAGCGCGGCTAAAGCTGCCATGTGGGGATGGTCATCAAAGCTCGGCGCCAGCTGCCGAGCCTCTTCAAGCGTGAAGTTGACTGGCCCCTCCTCGCCGAACAGCAGCAGCGCCGCAACGTCGTGTGCGCGGGCGCCCTCTCGCTTCGACTTGAACCTGGGGGCCGCCGCGGGCGGAGGCGGCGCACGGGATTGCAGGCCGGCCGCAGCCGCTGACGATTGAGCACTTGCGCGCAGAAAAGGCGCAGCCGGTGGGCGCGGGATCGCAGCATGCAAGACGGTGTCTTTTGCCAGCCCTTCTCCATCCTGGGGGTCCCAAAGCCATTCCCTCCGCGCCCGCGCACCACGGCGCCACAAACTGGGCCGCGACGCCGGCCCCGCGCCCCGCCTCCTTCTATTCTGCGGGACCGCCGCCTGCGCACCTGCCGACATAGCGCTGCTTGCCTTTGTAACGGATTGTCGCGCGCCAGCAGGTTGCGTCCCGACAGACCCCCTTGTACTGCGACCGCTTGGGCCCTAACTGCTTCCGTTGCGTCTGGGCTTGCTGCTGCTGCTGCTGCTGCTGCTGCTGCTGCTGCTGCTGCTGCTGCTGCTGTTGTTGATTTTGCTGCTGCTGCTGCAGCAGCTGCTGACCCCACCACCACTGCTGCCACTGCTGCTGCTGCTGCCACTGCTGCTGCTGCTGCTGCCGCTGCTGCTGCTGCTGCTGCTGCGGCGGCGGCGGGGACTCCAGCTCGCCTTGCTGCTGTGTGCCTGCGGAGGATGTGGAGAACAAGGTGGTAAAAGATTCAGGGTGGGTCCTGTGAGCCTCAGCCAGTGGACTCTCAACTAACATCTGAGGGGTGGTAGGGGGTGGAGCGGGCGCAACCACGGCGGCAGTCCAGAGCGCGGCGTCACCCCACTTGCTGCGCGCCTGTCATCGCGCTCTGCGGCACGTGAGCTGCCACCGTCGCCCTTGAGGCTCCCACATGCATCACATACATCAGCCGATTCCATCACGATGGGTGTCACCAGGGGCCGGCAGCTGAGCTGTCCTTACCTGCGGCGCCCGCCCCAGCCGCCCCGCCGGACGCCGCCAATGCCACCCCTGTGCCGTCCCACGCCGCTTGCGCGCACTGGGGCGCGAGCGCAGGCGGCGGCCCTGGGCTGGCCAGCGGGGTCCTCGGGGCGGTGCTTGGCGCGGGGCTGGCGTGCGAGCACGTGTCACGGAAGCTTGCCGGAGTCTTCCGCAGCCGCTTTCCCTGGGGTGACGCGGCGGCGCCAACCCCAGCCGCCGCCGCCGCCGGGCGCGTTGTGGACGGCGCCGGATGCGGTGGGGGCAGCGGCGCGGCGGCCGGCGCGGCGCAAGGCGGCCGCTTGTCATCGCCCCGCTGCGCCAGCGCGGCTAAGGCTGCCATTTTGGGGTGGTTATCAAAGCTCGGCGCCAGCTGCCGAGCCTCTTCAAGCGTGAAATTGACTGGCCCCTCCTCGCCGAAGAGCAGCAGCGCGGCGACGTCGTATGCGCGGGCGCCCTCTACCTCGTCGTTGAACCTGGAGGCCGCCACAGGTGGGGGGTGGCGAGCGGGTTCAAGTCCAGACGCGGCCGCCGAAAATTGTGCGCTCGTGCGCAGAACAACGGCAACCGGCGGGCGCGGGATGGCAGCCAGCGAGGCAGTGTCTTTTGCCAGCCCTTCTCCATCCTGGGGGTCCCAAAGATATTCCCTCCGCGCCCGCGCAGCACGGCGCGACAAAAAAAACTGGGCCGCAACGCCGGCCCCGCGTACCGCCTCCTTCTATCCTGCGGGACCGCCGCCTGCGCACCTGCCGACATAGCGCTGCTTGCCTTTGTAGCGGATTGTCACGCGCCAGCAGATTCTGTCCCAACAGACCCCCTTATACTGTGACTGCTTGGGCCCATACTGCTTCCGTTGCATCTGGGCTTGCTGCTGCTGCTGCTGCTGCTGCTGCTGCTGCTGCTGCTGCTGCTGCTGCTGCTGCTGCTGCTGCTGTAGCAGCTGCTGATACCACCACCACTGCTGCCACTGCTGCTGCTGCTGCCACTGCTGCAGCTGCCACCGCTGCTGCTGCAGCTGCCACCGCTGCTGCTGCTGCTGCCACCGCTGCCACCGCTGCTGCTGCTGCTGCTGCTGCTGCTGCTGCTGCTGCTGCTGCTGCGGCGGCGGTGGCGGCGGCTTGGACTCCAGCTCGCCTTGCTGCTGTGTGCCTACAGAGGATGCAATAACAAGGTTGAAGATTCAGGGTGAGTCCTGTGAGCCTCAGCCCGTGGAATCTCAACTAACATCTGAGGGGTGGCAGGGGGTTGGAGCGGGCGCAACCACAGCGGCAGTCCAGAGCGCAGAAGGGGCAAAAAGGGCAGGCGGCGTCACCCCACTTGCTGCGCGCCTGTCATTGGGCTCTGCGGCACATGAGCTGCCATCTTCACCCTTGAGGCTCCTACATGCATAACATACATCAGCCGGTACCAAGGGGCTGTGTGTCACCAGGGGCGGGCAGCTGAGCTGTCCTTACCTGGGCAGTCAATAGCCACCGCGGCGCCCGTGCCGCGGCCTCCGCTGCTGCTTTGCTCAAATACCATCGAAAGATAACCTTCTAACCGGGCCTTCGCAGTTTCGGGCCCCGGAGGTACGCGAACACTCTGATCCTGTCTAGATTGCGGAAGTGCCGAGCAGCCGCAGTATGGTGATGATATCGATACCGTATATGGCCGACACGTGTCGCGCGGCGTGTTGCCGTTCGTTACGGTTCGGTGGCAGCTGTGCAACGACACAACTTGTTGCGAAGTCTCCAAGGCCTTCCGCGCTCGGCGTATGCTGCAGTCCAAATCACCCTTTCATATATAGTTGTATGAAAGCATCAACCCATGGCGCTGACCGGGCTTGCGTCCTGCGTGTCACGGGGGCCCAAATCAACAAAAGTCCTTGAGCAGCCTGGGCCTTGGGCAGCCTCAGCTCAAGACATGCCTGGTTCATCGGTGATTTGGTCGATATCAAACGCCGGATATGATCTGGTATCAAAAGTTGTTCCAATGAAAGGTATCGGCCGGCAAGAGTCCAAGTTGCTGACCGATTTGTGCGCACGCACGCGCGGGGGCACCCCACCCACCGTGAGAGCGACCGGAAGCAGCAGGGAGCCGAGCGGCGC